GACATTGTTCAAATATTCTCAGTAGAAAAAAAAAAAAGGACAGTCCAGTAATACATGTAAATCCTCGCCAGACACCTCAACCACCATCTCACCTCCTCTCCCTTCTTCCAATCCAACACAATAATGCCACAATCACATCCTGCATCCTGATCCTATTTTTAACTTTCCCAAGTTCTTTTCTGTCCGTTATCTCATTTTGTCTTTGCAAAGACCGATGACACATGACAAGTCTTGCCATGCACAGAAGTTGGTGAAGATATTAAGGAAAAGAGGTTAAATAGAAGACCTAAAATGTGCAGATGTCATTCAGGAGCTAGACCAGACCTTAGAACCTTTGACCCCTGCCACAGTGTCCCTCCCAAGACTATTATCTCTCAATCATTGAAAACATTAGAAAGCCATTTGCTGTAGACAAAGTTCCAGCCACCGGCAGCCTCAAAAACAAACAAACAAACAAACAAAACAACAAAAAAAAACTGATCAGGGTTGTATCAGCAAGGATTCCTCCAATTCGATTATTCAGTGACTTGCTACAAGGCCCAGCGTCAGCCCCAAGCTACAGGAGAGATAAGAGCCTGTCTCCCCAGAAACCAGAGGTCAGCAGGGGGATGTTAGTGCTGGTATCAGGTCCGGCTGTGCAAAGGGATGGCCCTGATCTGAGTTCTGCCCCATCTTCTCTAGGCTCAGACCCTCTCCTGGCCTCTGAGGCCTCCTCTTCCTCAGGTCTTTGCCCCCAATACATTCTTTTCCCCTCAACCAACCTCACTAGCCTCAAGGAAGCTGGATCCTTATTTTTAGAACTCTTAAAACAGGGAAGTGCTAGTGGGCATAGAAAAAAGGAAGCGATTGGCCATTCTGACCCTTGAAAGGTTTCCTTCCTGATGCCTCCCTAACACCTCCTTAACTTGGACTTGCACACGAGCACACACACACGCACCGTGAAATCGCCACTTCTCAGTCCTTCTCCATGTGGCAGATTCTCCTACAGCAGTCTCTAAGTTGGACTGAAGTTCATAGAGTGGAATGGAAAAAACCGAGCCCAGCTCCAGGGAGTAATGAGCTGGAGAGAGCACACCCTGAGGTCACCCTGCTCGAGCCAGCCCTGCAGCCCTCTGGTCCTCTTAGCTCTGTCAAGCACTTAACAAGCATGCAGTCATTAATTGCATTCTCCTCAGAGGGCACCAGCATGGCCCTGAGGGGACTAAGTGACTTTTGCAAGATCACAGCACAGTGCAGCCCAGCATGGGCTGGGTGGGATCCAGCCTTGCTGGCCTCAACCCTCTCTGCCAGCCCACCAAGAGCCTGGCCCGAGTGCCCCTTCTTGCTGCCACACACCACCAGACCCGGTGACACCCACAGGGGAAACTAGAGCTGTAAGCCCTGGCTGCTGTCACTCTGTCAAAAGGGCCTAGAGCAGTCAGCCCTGGCTAATGTCAGTCTGTCAAAAGTGCCAGGTTTGAGACAACCATCTTATCCCTTCTTAAAGCATCACATCCAAGTCTTCTGGACCCAGGAGACCATCACTGCTCTTTGGGGCTTTGGATTTTCATTATGCTCAGCTCTCCAGGCATAAAGCTCAAGAGAGAAGCTTCTGATGAGCTAAGCCTGATGCCCTTGCTCTTTCTTCTCAACTCTCCAAAATGAAGTTAAATGCCTGCTCTCTGAAGCTTCCGATGGCCCCTTTTCATACTAGTCTAAGTTATTAGGAGGAAGGCTGACCGCATCAGCCTTTCTGGGTTGAAGCAGAGGAGGCAAGCAAGCCTGAGCAAGGAGTCCGACTAGATCAGGTGACCTCCCAGAGCTTCACTCCCTTCTGGGCAGAGAATTTAAGAAAAAGAGCAGCAAACCCAACCTCCCGCTTTCCAGGCCTACTCTTGTTACCTCTTTGGTAAAGAGGGGCGGTGCTAGTAGTAATATAATAGTAGCCGTGATAGGCTAAATAATGATCCCCCAAAAGACACCCACATCTTAATCCCTAGAAGCTGTGAATGCCACCTTATATGTTTTTTTTTTTTTTTTAAAGACTTTGCAGATAATGATCTTGAGACGGGGAGATTACTCTGGATTATCCAAGTGGGCCCTAAGTACAACCACATGTATCCTTATAAGAGACATGCCAAGGAAGATTGGACACAGACAGAAAACAAAGACAATCTGACCACAAACACAGTGACTAGACTGATGCAGCCACAAGCCAAAGAATGCCAACCCCCCACCAGAAGGTAGGAGAGGCAAGGAGTGGATTCCCCTAGAGCCTCCAGAGGGAGCACGGCCCTGCTGATGCCTTGATTTTAGCCCAGCAATACTGATTTTCAACTCCTGGTCTCTACAATTATGAGAGAATAAATTTCTGCTGTTCTAAGCCACTCAGTTTGTGACAATTTGTTACAGCAATCCCAGGAAGCTAACACAGTAACTAATACTTCATGATTGCTCACTATGTGCCAGGAACTGTTCTAAGCATTTTACCCACATTAAATCATTTCTATCCTGGCCCTACTGGCCCTAGATGGTGTGAGGCCTGGGCTGTGCAGATAGAATACCTGGGTTTGAATCCCAGCTTCACTGCTTACTGTTGTGACCTTGAGTAAGTTATGCAACCCTTCTACACCTCAGTTGCCCAATTCATAAAATGGGCATGTGGTACCTTCCTCATTGAGTTGCTAGGAGGATAAAATGGGTAATAAAGATATAAGTACTTAGAACAGTATAGAATAAGTATTGAATACATGCTAGCTATTAGGAGATCTCAGGGGTTGAGCAAGCCAAAATTAGACCCTTATGCTAATCTGTCAAGACACGGCAAGACCTCCCGGACTCAGTGCAGGAGAAAAGATGTCCCTTTAAAGCTGATTTGAATCTCAAATATGACTGTCTGAGGAGTTCAGTTAAGTATTTCTTCCCTTAATTAAGCAATTTAGGTTTTTAATGCTGGCCTCATTTCAAAAAAGGCAGTAGCCTGAGACTCTGCTAATTCTGCAGCATTCCCCAGCTGACTTCCCCACTCCCACCTCCAGTTTTTTTTTTTTTTTTTTTTTTTTGAGATGAAGTCTCGCTCTGTTACCCAGGCTAGAGTGCTGTGGCGCGATCTTGGCTCACTACAACCTCCACCTACCGGGCTCAAGTGATTCTCTTATCTCAGCCTCCCAAGAAGCTGGGATTACATGCATGCACCACCCCACCCAGCTGATTTTTGTATTTTTAGTAAAGACAGGGTTTCACCATGTTGCCAGGCTGGTCTCGAATTCCTGTCCTCAAGTGATCTGGCTGCCTCAGCCTCCCAAAGTGCTGGGGTTACATCCAGCCCCACCTCCAGTTTTTAAGGAGAGTTATGCACGTTGATCATCCATACTGATGACTTCACCTGAAGCGTCCACACCTGACACACCCCTGCAGAACCCACATTTTCTCCCTGTAATTCTGGTATCAGGAACTGGAGCCCTAGTATTAGGAAGTTGTATTAGGAAGTCAGTGGAAGGCAGAAACCATCAGTCCATTTTACGGCCTTCTAAGGTCACTCCAACGTGTCCCAGCAGCCTGGAGAATAACAAATTCAAGGGTCTACTTTGATTAAGAGATTACAACCAAGTTAGTAAAGAATAAACAAGGTTTGCCCAGGGACACGGGAGGGGAGACCTAAAGTTATCGCCTGTAATCCCAGCACTTTGGGAGGCCGAGGTGGGTGGATCACCTGAGCCTGACCAGCCTGGCCAACACGGCGGAACTCCATCTCTTCTAAAAATACAAAAATTAGCCGGGCGTGGTGGCACACGCCTGTGGTCCCAGCCACTCAGGAGGCTAAGATTGGAGAATCGCTTGAACCTGGGAGGCGGAGGTTACAGACGTCGCGCCCCTGCACTCCAGCCTGGCGACACAGCGAGACTCCATCTCAAATAAATAAATAAATAAATGAAGTTATCACCTGAAAAAAAAAAAATGTGAGAAGGGAAAAAATAAAAAGCGCTTTCATTTACTTGGCCCTTGCTGATAAAGTTTGCCCAACTCTCCTGTTTAGGTGATGTAATTCAAAGATGAAAAGAAGCTGCGCCCAGTCCGGACCCCAGGCCTTGTGTCCTCACCTAAGAAATCTGCACGCCAGGGATTAACCAGGGGAGAAGGGCCTGGCCGCTGGGCCTTGGCTTCCTCTTAGGCAGAGTTCCAGCCCCTGAGACTTGAGCCGACCGGCTTAAGACGACTCCGGCCGCCGCCGCCCTATGCTGGCAAAGAGGCCTCTCCCCAGCAGGCTCCAGGGGCAGCCACCTGCTCTCTCCCTGCCCTTCCCTACCCCACTCTCCTAGAGCAAGGATGAAGGAGAACAGCTCCCCCTCCTTACTCTCAGGCACCCACAGATTTCTGAGCTGCCGTCACCACTGACGAGAACCCAGGTTCTCTGGAGGGATCGCTTCTCCTTCTCATTCCATCCTCCCCATCAATGAACACGCAGCAACACCCACGCTCCCGCTCCTCCTACTCCAGGGGGAGACCGAACCCGAGAGCGACATCCGGAGCTGGAAGTCGCTGCAACGGGGGCGCCGGCCTCCCTGCCCCGCAGTCTCTCGACCTTTCCCAGACACCGGAGGATCCCAGGCCAGCCCAGTATTCCAGGCGGAAAGGGTGCCCGAGTCTTCCGCAGGGCCCCGCCTCCTTAGGCGCTCGGCGCTGGAGACCTAGGAGAGCGCGCGAGAGAAACGCTGAGCTCCACCCGCGGGGCCCGGAGGCTGGGCATAGTACCCGGGACTCGAACCCCGCGCCCTCGTCCCACAGCTTTAGGCATCCCACAGCAGGCCCCGGCCCAATGCCCCCGCGCCGCGTCTTCCCCGGCACCCCCGCCCGGAGGCGAGTCCCGGGCTGCCAGCGCGCCCATCCTGCCCCCAACAGGTCTCGGGCAGCGGGGAGCGCGCCGCCTGTCCCGCAGGCGCTGGGAGGCGAGCCGGAGCGAAGCCGAGGGCCGGCCGCGCGCGCGGGAGTGGTCGCCGAGGGCTGCGAGCCCGGCCACTTACGCGCGGGCTCTGGGGAACCCCATGGAGAGGAGCACGTCCAGCGCCGATCCATGCTTGATGGTGCCGGGGCGCTGCTGGCGGTTCCTCCGGGGGGTGACTTTGCTGTACAGCTCCTCTCTCGCAGCCATGCCGAGCGGACTGGGTTGGCCGTACTGAGCCATGGCTCAGCGGCCAGCCATCGCCAGGGAAGGAGCCCGAGCCGGATGGTCCGGGAAGGAGGAGGGAGTCGGGCTCGGCCAGAGGAGGGGGCTCGGGGACCCAGAGCCAGGCAGGAGGCGGCGGCGGCGGAGGCGGCGCTCCGAGCTTCCCCAGTGTCGAGACTCTGACGCTTCCTGGTGAGGCCACAGGAGCCAGAACGCCGGCGAGCGGCCGCTGCGGGACCAGCCTTAGCCACTCGGGCCCCCGGCTGCCCCCAGCGCTGCGCCTGCAGTAGCCCTGTCTCCTCCGCCCCCTTCCCTCTCCTCGCCTAGCAGTCCGGGAATTTGCAATGAGTAATTTTTGAATGGATCAAAAAGGAAAAGGAGCCTTGTGGGCTGGCCCTGACTTGCCTGTACCCGGGCCCCGCCCCTCTCTTAAAGCGGCCGCGCTGTCCGAGGCTGCTCGGTGCGTGGAAGAGCTCTAGTCGCGCTACTTGGAGGCGGAGGATCCCAACCTTATGGGCTGCTTGTGTGCTTCAGCTCCCGACCGTCACGCCGGGCGCCCCAGCCCTCTCTTTGGCTGGCATACCCTCCCAGCTGGGCCTCAAGACAGCAGATCAACCCATTTCAAGTTTCTTGTGGTTCTAGATGCGGTCATTAATGGAAATCGGGTGAACTGATGGATGATACTAATGGACCAGAAGGCCAAGTCATAAGTCCTAGGTAAAAGGTTTTGCTTCCCAAAGATCCTGCAAAACCCAAAGGGTTGTTAGGACCATCGGAGGCTGAGTTCCCAATCAGCCGTCCAAGTGGCTGCACTCAAGACCTACTGTGCTCTACAAGGTTATGGTCAGTGACTGGATAGTGCCTTCTGGGTGGGGCAGAGGGAGTGGGGAACAGGACCTCATGTTCTCAGAGCTGGCAGGACCCGGGAGGGGACAAGAAAAGAGGGGCAGGGCAGAAAGAAGAAGAGGGAAGGGAAAAAGAAAGGAGGAAGGAGGAGGAGTAGAAGGAAGGGCTAGGAGGGTAGAGGAAGAAGGAACAGAGAAAAGACACTTCCTAATTATAAGAGGTGTTCAAAAGGGAATAGGCTTATTTCATGAGGGAGTGGATATCCTGTCAATAAAAGGATTCAAAGAAGGACTGAATCACCACTGCACAATAATAAGTGAATTGTATCGTAGGTTGGACAAAACTACTCCCACTGCAAAGATGGTGGAAGTCATAACCATATTGATGCTCCATGCCCCACCTGGTAAATTTGGCTGGGGGATGTTAACGCTCTTTCATTTGGAAACAAAGTCATTGTCTTCAGTCAGGGACAAGGGTCCCACTTGCTATAATGAAAGAGGCAATGAGTAAACCATAACCGATAGTCTTTTTTGGGTAATAATAGTAATAATAAAACCTAACATTTATTGGGCTCTTGTATGTGCCTGTCATTGTGCTGATCGTAATAAATGAATTAACTCACTGAATTTTTACACTGACCCTAGGAGTCTATTTAATCATTATCCCAGTTTTATAGATGAGAAAACTCAGCTCAGAGAGGTTGGGGAAGATTATAGAGCTGGTAAGTGCATAGCTAGAGCACTTGTATCCACTACAGTGCCTTAGACAAGTTACTTCTCTCTACAGCCTAATTTCCTCATTTGTATGGACCGTGGTAACCTAACCTTGCACACACTGGGTTTTCCAGAAATGTCAGTCAGGGCCTGTCCCTGGTTGGAGTATGGGGGAGGGATGGTGACCAGCACCCATGGAGTGGCATTTTGAGGTTGCTTTATAAGGCCTCTAAAGGTTTTACCAGGGGAAATGACACAGTGTAACTCCCTGAGCCAGGAATTGGCTTCCTAAAGAATAGCCAGTGGTGTCTGGAAGCAGGGAGATAAGACAGCTGGAGCTCAAGCAACAATGTGCATTAATTCTGCTTCCTGCTATATAAAGGATGAGGGAAAATTAATGCTTCCTGGATAGGAGCTTCTTCCAGAGCAAAGGGGATATCCTGGAGACCTTGCACAATGCTCTTCCGGGGTATGGAGCAAAAAGACAAGACTAGGCTGGAAACACCATACCTAGTATTAGCCTCCTTGGATGTGTTCAGTAAAATATGCTGGATTTTACCCAGTATTCTGAATTTTTTTTCCAAATGCCTGGTTTGAAAGTCAAGTGAACTGGATCTTAGTCAAGAGATAATAATGTACGTGAAAGCGCTTTGTAAACCATAAACCGCTACATAAATGATAACTCAAATTTATTGAGTACTTACTATATGCTGGTGTTGTTCTTTGCTTCTTACACATGTGACTCAAACAATTCCTTGATAAGACTATGAACTAGGAACTACTTTACAAATGAAGGTGCTGAGACAGAGGTCAAGTATCTTGTCCAAGGTCATATGGCTAGTAAATGGCAGAGCCAAGATTTGAACTCTTAACATTTGGCCAAACAACTACTTACGACCATTGTTATGATGATGAGACGACATCAGCCTTTAAGATAGTTTTTTGACTCCACCTATGCCCCTTGACATAGAAATGCTGGATCTCTGTTTCTCCAGAAAAATCGAATTAATTGTCTTTCTCCCTGCCTTTAGGCAAACTGTAAGATAAAGGAAATGACGGATATAAAAATAGTTTTAGGTAGACTGGAAAAAGCACTATGGAAAACTAGCCACCTTAGACACAAACTGTTTTTGTCTGGGGCACTTTTACAGAAATCCCAGCTTCGCTTCCTCACTTGTCTTCAGCTCAGTGCCAACCCCTGTTTTATTTAGGACCCCTGCCATTTGTTCTGCACTGGGTGGGGGGACTGGCAGTTAAGGTGCATTGTGCTTTAATTGTGTTGACATTGAAAAGCTAGGAAAAGCTTCATAAATGTCTACATTGTTCTATTACAGAGAGAAAAGAGTGGGGCTGGGTACGGTGGCTCACCCCTTTAATCCCAACACTTTGGAAGGCTGAGGTGGGCGGATCACGAGGTCAAGAAATCGAGACCATCCTGGCCAATGTGGTGAACCCCATCCCTACTAAAAATACAAAAATTAGCTGGGCGTGGTGGCATGCGCCTGTAGTCCCAGCTACTCGGGAAGCTGAGGTAGGAGACTCGCCTGAACCCAGAAGGTGGAAGTTGCGGTGAGCTGAGATCACGCCATTGCACTCCAGCCTGGCGATAGAGCAAGACTCCATCTCAAAATAAATAAATAAATAAATAAATAAATAAATAAATAAATTGAAAGAAGAGAAATGACTATTCATCTGGCAGTATATCTTACAGTGGCCAAGAGAGGTGAGATGGGAGTAGGGGTCTTGCACAGGGACAGAGCTGACATATCAGCATGAAGTTCCTCCCTCAGAAGGGAGAGCAAGTTGACATGTTCCCCATGTGCGGTCAGGTCAGAATACACACTGGACCACAAAGCTCTCTTTGTTCATGTGAGCATGTTTAACCCTCCCTCACTGGCCCCTGCCACATTTTCGCTATGGTATATCCTCTCAGATGGCCAGAGGGAGACCCAGGATGGGCCCAGCTGGCTGCACTCATAATTTCTGAAGCATGTCGTATGTCTGCTCCTTCTCCTTCACTCTGTCCTTAAGGAATGGTCAAGTAATAACAATAAGAACATGCAGTAGGTCTGTAATCCTAGCACTTTGGGAGGCCAAGGTAGGTGGGCAGATTGCTTGAGCTCAGGAGTTTGAGACCAACCTGGGCAAAATGCTGAACCCCATCTTAACTAAAAATATAAAAATTAGCCCAGCATGGTGGTGCGTGCCTGTAGTCCCAGCTGCTTGGGGGGCTGAGGCAGGAGGATTGCTTGAACTCCGGAGGTCGAGGTTGCAGTGAGCCAAGCCGAGATGGCGCCATTGCACTCCAGCCTGAGTGACAAAGTGAGACCCTGTTAAAAAAACAGACAAGGCCTGGCGTGGTGACACATGCCTGTAATCCCAGCACTTTGGGAGGCTGAGGTGGGTGCATCACGAGGTCAGGAGTTCAAGACCAACCTGGCCAAGATGGTGAAACCCTGTCTCTACTAAACATACAAACAAATTAGCCAGGCATGGTGGCGGGCGCCTGTAATCCCAGCTACTCAGGAGACTGAGACGGAGAATTGCTTGAACCTGAGAGGTGGAGGTTGCAGTGAGCTGAGATGGCGCCCGCCACTGCACTCCATCCTGGGCAACAGAGCTAGACTCCATCTCAAAAAAAATAAAACAAAAAACAAATAAACAAACAACAAAAAAAAACAGGCAGTAAAGTCTGCCCAGTGTTTCCAGTCCTGAGGGCTGGGCTGTTGCCTTGCCAAACTAAGGCAGCTTTGGAACTGCTGGGAATGACTTTCACCCCTAGACTTTAAGGGGATCCTTCGTGGTCAGAAGATTTTGAAACCACGTGCTGCCCCTCTCTGGGCCTCAACTTCCTTGCTTGCCAAATGAGATCGCCAGGATTTTGTCAAGGGACCCTCGGGAACTCTGAGGGACAGGGGTTGGGGTTACCCAACTGAGGATTAAGAGGGTAGTGTGGTATCCTCTTTTCTTTCATTGTAAGTCTATCAGCTTTCTAAGTTGGGATGTTTTGTTTTTGTTGTTGTTCTGTGTGTTTTTTGTTTTGTTTTGAAACGGAGTCTCTCCCTGTTGCCCAGGCTCGAGAGCAGTGTCGCAATCTCAGCTCATTGCAATCTCTGCCTTCCGGGTTCAAGCGATTCTCCTGCCTCAGCCTCCCGAGTAGCTGGGATTACAGGCATGTGCCATCACGCCCAGCTAATTATTACATTTTTAGTAGAGACAGGGTTTCATCACGTTGGCCAGGCTGGTCTCGAACTCCCAACCTCAAGTGATCTGCCCACCTAAGCCTCCCAAAGTGCTGGGATTATAGGCGTGAGCCATAGGGCCTGGCCGAGATCTAATTTTTTTAAGTGTTTTTTTTTTTTTTTTGTCTTTCCTTTTGTTTTGTTTTGTTTTCCTTTGTTTTTTCAGGGTCTCGCTCTGTTACCCAAGCTGGAGTGCAGGGATCTCAACTTGGGCTCAAACCATCCTCCCATCTCAACCTCTCGAGTAACTGGGACTACAGGTGTGTCCCACCATGCTCAGCTTCTTCTTTTTTTTTTTTTTTTTTTTTTTTTTTGTAGAGATGAGGTCTTGCTATATTGGCCAGGCTGGTCTTGGACTCCTGGACTCAACTGATTCTCCTGCCTCAACCTTCAAAGTGCTGGAGTTATAGCCATGAGCCACCACACTCGGCCTCAAGATCTAATTTTGAATAGACTTGTTTTGTTTTTGGTAGAGACAACGTCTTGCTATATTGTCCAGGCTGGTCTCCACCTCCTGGCCTTAAGTGATCCTTCTAACTTCCTCTCAACCTCACAGGGTGCTGGAATTAAAGGCAGGTGAGCCACCACTCCCAGATGAATAGACTTTTTAAAATGTAAATTTAGGCCAGATGTGGTGACTCAGGCCTCTAATCCCATCACTTTGGGAAACCAAGGCAGGAGGATCCCTGGAGCCCAGGAGTTTGAGACCAGCCTGGGCAACATAATGAGATCCTATCTCTATTAAAAATAATAATAATAATAGACCTGGCACTAGCCAGGCACGGTGGTTCCCACCTGTAATCCCAGCACTTTGGGAGGCTGAAGTGGTCAGATCACCTGAGGTTGCGAGTTAGAGACCAGCCTGACCAACATGGAGAAACCCCATCTCTACAAAAAATACAAAATTAGCTGGGCAAGGTGGGGCATGCCTATAATCCCAGCTACTCAGGAGGCTGAGGCAAGAGAATCGCTTGAACCCGGGAGGCAGAGATTGCTGTGAAGTGAGATCACGCCATTGCACTCCAGCCTGGGCAATGAGAGCAAAACTCCGTCACACATATACACACACACACACACACACACACACACACAAAACAGATCGGACACAGTGGCTCATGCCTGTAATTCCAGCATTTTGGGAGGCTGGGGCGGGCGGATCACCTGAGGTCAGGAGTTTGAGACCAGCCTGGCCAACCTG